ACACACACACACACACACACACACACACACACACTCACTCACACACATACACACTTTCACCTCGGGGTCGTAGCCCCGTTCCAAGTATTTTTTGTAGTTCTTTTCTCAGACGACACTCTATGGCTTATCACGGACAAAAACAGACGATGGGATGAACTCTGATGTTGGAGAACTGAAATTCGATCTAAATGTTGATTTGCATTGTTGGAAACTTCAATCAGAAATTATCGCTTGCTCTTTTTTTATATTTTGGCCAAACGAAGACTAAATTAATATAATACGCAGTGTGCATAGTTTAAAAAAAACAGCAACTTGTTAGACCCTTGATTGAACTGACACTGACAAAAAAGAGTCTAAAGACGAAGGATGTGAGATAAAAACAGACATTAGAATGATTTTTTGTAATGCTCAAAGGAGCTTTTATACAAGTCGGGGGTACTTACCCCGAGTCTAAACCATTCCTCTGCTCAAGCGACGATCTTGTTGGCGTAGACTCTCTCGGCTATGATTTCCTTCAGCAAAAGGATTTATAGAAACCATGGACTACGTCAACAAATGGTTCCTTTGAATCAAGGGTAGCCGGGACAAGAGTGCTTGTTCAGTCTCGTTGGTCTGTCTCTTTTGACGTTCTCAGGCGTCAAGCAAGCTCCTAGGGGTCACTATTTCTGGAAGGAAAATTGAGTTCTGTCCCTGCTAGCCTTGAATAAATATTGAATCGTCCAAGCCTCATAACTTATTGCTCGTTCCTCAGTCTTGCCAATGCCTGGGTAAAGGGAGTCACATTATGAAGCTGACAGCGGTTTTGTGTGGGGAAAAAAAGAGTAAAACGATCGACTGTGAGATATAGGCAACAGGATCCATAATATTATTATGTCACAAAGAGTGCCAGGGGAAGATTTTGTCTTGTGCTGTTTTCTTTCTTTTGAATACACAAACGATTAATAGTTATTGAGGTGGGTAGGTAATAAACTGAACACCCCCCCCCCCAATTCCCTCCTGTGTTCCCTGCAAGGAAAGTTCGAATTCTATATTCCTTTATTTGGCATTCAAATCATCATCATCATCATCATCATCATCATCATCAT